TAGCGAGGCGTTCAGCCTAACCTGACTCTCCTGACTTGCTCCAAGCTCCTGCCATCAATGATTAACACGGTGGGGGTTGAGAAGGCAGGTGTTGTCTGGCTGTTTGTTTTCACAATCTGACCATTTTTCAGGCTCATCTTTAGGAAAGCAAGGAGCAATGGTGTAGTTTGGCTTCTGACCCGAGCCGACATTATGGTGCTTAGCGAGGCATAAAACAGCACAGGACTGCTAAAGCAAAGCAGTAAAACCGCTTTGCCACTGTGCATCCCCACCGCTACAGGTTATCCTCCGTCCTCAGAAGAGAGTTACTGGCCTCTGACTCTGGGGTTTGCCTGTTGTTACCAACCAGTGGTAAACGTCAGGTCAGGAGGGTTACTTTACAATCCTTGCCTTTCATTATCACAGTACTGGTAAGAACTTCACGTCTTCCAGGCATGGTTCAGAAGGGCTTGAGGTAGGAAGGGGAAGAGAAGAACATACAGACAGCACAGTCTCAATTCGTACACCCTCTGGAAACAAGACCAAACCCTCCACGATCTACAGAGAAGGTTCTGTCCGCATTTTCCCCCGGTTCCTCCTACATCTGAACACCCTTCTGAGACCCTGCTGGCTATTGTAACAGAACTTTGCCCTCTTTGCCATGAGACACAAAGGCCATCTCAGTCCCCATACCTTAATCCTGGCTTTAATTTAATCTCTGCTGTGAAAAGCCACAGGAGTGGAGTCCTTAAAACCTCATCTACCTTCAGGGGGATAAAATAAATATACAAGTTGGCTCTAAGAGCAGATGGTGTCTGAAGGAAATTATGGTAATTAAGCTTCAGAGTTGTAGATTTCCAAGGACTACTTCACTCCAGCACCAGACCTCTAGGCCAGTGCAGCAGTTATTAAAATTACAAGTTTCACCACATTTTATTAATTGCTAATTACTGCTTCATTACTTCGACTGATAGTCCCCAGACTGCTGCTGGCACTGTTTCCTTCCAGAAGGAGTTCAGGTCGCTTCAAACCTGCAAAGAGTGGTGTGATGAGTAAAGTCAGTTATGGAAACCTAAGTAGGTATGTTCTTGGCCATGACAACCCAAACCTGCTCTGCGGTCTGTCACAGACGCTAAACACACTTTTTATCAGGATGATGCCAGAGGACTCGGAACAGGCCTACAACTTCTGTGCCAGCTCCACTTTAGCAAACCCCGCCATCCCAGCATCCAGCGTAAGGGGCAACAGCTGTCCTGTCCCCTCTGTAAGCCACTGAGAAATGAGTTAGACTGAATTTCACACTTGAGCCTAATCCTCTTCCTACTCAAACTCCACCCCACCCCAAGATGTTTGATCAAGGATCTGGTCTCCGTTTTCTTACGCAGAGCAGCGATACTCAATCCAGGGGGAAGGTGCAGGAACTAAAAGCTGGACAACATCCAGAGCTTTGAACAGGTTTCCAAGTCTGAAAAACATATTTAAGTATAGAACTTTCACAAAACTAGTCGCATAATTAAGAGCCAAACCACGTATATGAATATAAATTTATGGGCTTATACTACCCTGTTTCATAATGGAAACAAAGCCAATTTAGGTTTTATTCAGTGCCAGTGCTATTAACTGTGCGTCTTAGGCATAACTGTACTTCTCCATAAATCTAAATTTCATTAGCAGCCCAAAATCAATTACTTTGTGATTTATAGTTAAGGCCATAGTAGTGACAGTTATTAAACACCCCAGCCTACTCCGGTATTCCACGCAAAGTGCAAGCTCACCCTAGTTGAGGGCTCGCCCCCACAGCGCTCCCATGGAACAGAGGCAGGTTTCTGAATTAGCTCTCCTCTCCCAATACATTATCTGGATCCAGGTCCCTTTCGGGTCCTGCTAACATTCAATGCCAGTTCCAAGAGCTGCACGGCTGCTATGTGGGTTTTTTTCAGGCGCAACAGCAAGCCTCCGCTGCTGAACATCACCATTTGTATCATCCACAAATCCTATAGCCATCCCAGTACCAGGCGCACTGATCCCAAACACATCCTGTGCTACTGACCTAGTCCATGCATAGCTCTACATAGAATCACAGAATCGTTTGGGTTGGAAAAGCCTTTTAAGCTCACCAAGCCCAACCGCTCCCCTAACCCTGCCAGCCCACCACTAAACCCTGGCCCTAAGCACCTCATCTATCCTTCTTTTAAATACCCCAGGGATGGGGACTCGACCACCTCCCTGGGCAGCCCATTCCAGAGCCTGACAACCTTTTCTGCGAAGAAATTTTTCCTAATGTCTAGCCTAAACCTGCCCTGGTGCAGCTTCAGACCATTTCCCTTCGTCCTATCATCTGTTACCAGGGAGAAGAGGCCGACCCCGCTCCAGCCCCTCCAGGTCCTTCTGGGAGTCAGGGGCCCAACCCTGAACCCAGCATTCCAGGGGCGGCCTCACCAGTGCCCAGCACAGGGGCACGGTCACTGCCCTGCTCCTGCTGGCCACACCAGTCCTGATACAAGCCAGGATGCTGTTGGCCCTCTTGGCCACCTGGGCACACTGCTGGCTCATATTCAGCTGGCTGAATATACTGCCTAAGTGGCTTGCAGCGTGGTTTACTCAAGCTATGCATGGCTGGGCACCTTCTATCAGCATTGCTGCCGTAATGAAGACAGGGAACTCGGCAGCTCAGATGGCTCGCGTCATTCAGATGTCCCCAGTAGCAGCGGTCCTGCCCCAGACCCACGCTCCTCCGCTGAGCACTCGTCTGTCAAAGAGCATCATTATTTGAGGGAACACATAGCTATTCAGCAGCCACCTTGGAGGGGAGTTTAATTGTGTCCCCAAGACAGATTTCATTACATTTCAACTCAACACCGTCAAGTTGTGCTCTGTCATCAACTCAAGGCAGTCAACTCATTATAAAGCAAGTATTTAATCACCTTAACCCTCTAGAGACTTAAATTAAGGCACTTCACCACCACAGTCCCTTCATTCCTTAATCTAATTGAGGTTTCATTACCCACTGGCTACTGGGTCATTGTTTTGAGGCACAGGTACCTGACAGCTTAGGACCTAGGGGTACCTCCACACAAGCTTTCATTTATATCAGGTAGCATTTGTCCATTCATCTCTCAGCTATCCAGATAATGATCTCTGGCTTCAGCAACAAATAAGACTGGAATATTGATCCCCTTCTCTCTGCTATCCCCCAATTTAGATAAATCAATTCACCAACAAGTGACAGTCACTTTTCCCAGCTATCCCCCAATTTAGATAAATCAATTCTTTAACAAGCGACAATCATCCTCATTTAGTCAAGGGCTCTGAAGACACACTTTAACAGACATGTCCAAGTTCCCTATGGAGGAAAAATATTGTTTTAATAAAAGGTGCCACTAACTGTGGTGCACTAGTTCAAGTCTGAGTTGTATTACAGGTAAAATTTCATCTCCCCAGTCTCGCTGGGGGACACCGAGGACCTGACACAACACAGTAAAAGCGAATTTGCTAAATACCTGTTCAGCCAGCGAGAGAGCAGATTTGCTTTGTGCTCAGCAATTTGGCTCTGCTTTCAACACCAGCTATATAACCTGAAAAACTGGCAGGCATGCTAGCATATTAAGATCTATCAAAATTCAAATAAGATTTATAATCAACATAATGCAGTGTATAAATAGACTTTAAGGACCAAAGAAGTCACATATGCAGTTTTTAAGGGCTGGAACAGCAAAATGAAGACATCCACATTTTCCCTTTACTTTCTAATCTGCCATTTCATATGTTTTTAGGCACTGTTTTCATACCGTTCTATTGGGAATGCAAATATTTGATAGAACTGTTTACAAGTTTGAATACAATTCTGAGCATTTACATTTCCCTATAATTCAGCAAAACCACATTAAACAATATTTCCACCAAAAATCAACCTGGCAATCCTTCTAACAGGCTCTTCCAACCCAGCCCCTATTTCAAAGACCATTCACTTCCAAACTCCTCACGTCCCCTTTTGACATTAACAGCCAATGCTTACAGTCTAGAGACAATGCTGCCCTGCATTCCAGCACACATTCAACACCACTCCTAGGTTAAAGATTTTCCCAAATACCTACAAGCTGTGAGGAAATTAAGGTATCGGAACAGGATGCATTTCTTGTGTCATCTCGTAGGACAGAGAACATTTCTTTTCCCCAACTCCCTAATCCAGTTCACTTTCAAAGCAGAAAGGCAATGAAAAAAAAAAAAAAAACCAAAAACACATTAGCATTAATAATTGCAACCAAAATTAGTTAGCGAGCAGTCTCAAGACAAATCAAATAGCCAAGCCAAGGACAATCAGCTGGAACCCTTGTCAGCACAGCAGAGCCAACCCTGAGGAATAAGGCACACAGCTTTTTCTTAATAATACCATTCAGTGAAGGCAAGCACAGAATGAAAACATCTGGGAAAGGATTAATAGTAGACTTTGCAGACAGAAGCACAGCGTAGAACAGCCTTGTCCTACCAGAGCAGCTGTCATAGCCAGGAGAAACTGAAGATCCTTAAGACAAAGTCCTTGCTGTTAAAGCAGGTTACAGCAAGCGCGCCAGGGAACGTAGATGAGGATAAAGCTCGTCGACAAGGCCAAGGGAACTGCGTGCAGGCCTCCTACACGCCGCTTTCACCACACTTGCCACTGAAGTCTCTCTTTGTACTGGTAAACAGCAAAGGTAAAGACAGTTAAAGTGAGAACCAAACACCACCCCCACTGAACAGTGCTCCAATGCCCCTGTACCCTTCACTCATTAAGGACGGATCCAAATGGCAGGACGAGGGAACCATGGCTCAAAAAAATGGAATATTAAACCTCCCCAGACTTCTCCCTACTGTGCGTCATTGTTTTGTTCCATGTTTGGTAAAGAAACACATAAATATAAACTTCTAAAACCTAAAATACTTTATTTTCTCCAAATATCATTTTTTTCCCTTTCCTTTTTTTTTTTTAAAAAAGGTCTTTTAACACTCATTTGCAAACCAAATGAAAATATGCAATAGCCATGTAAACCAACATCCCTTCATCTACTCAGAAAAATATACACATCCTTCAAAACAAGAGCCCACATGGATTAGTTACAAAGCAAAAGCTTCATGGCTGTACAGTCCTGGGGGTTTCCACACATGCAGACATGAACATACCCGTGGGTACAAGAGAGGCGGCACACAACTGGGGAACTGTTTGTTCAGGAAAGGACAGCAAAACCCATCAGCTGCATGTTATACCAGCCTCTCCCGGCTGCTGGAAAAGTTTCCCGCGTTTAAACATCTCCTAAAGGTTCTGACTGTTATAAGCATAAGTGTCTACTGCCACCAGCTAATTCTTTTAGCAAACTTCATTCTTAAAACTTGAAATCAGCTCTGGACCCACAGAGTCACAAGAGAGGGCTCAATGGCAGATCCAAATTATTGCCTAAGGAGTAAGCAATGAACGAGCCACAGGCCGAGCGCTCTTCTGGCATAAACAGCTTCATTTGATCTTTCTGTCAAGTGACTGAAGCGCCCAAAGAACTGGAACTAAGGATATCAGCATGGCATTCACAAAAAAAGAGAGTTGCACAAATGAGACGGAAAAACCATTACCAGACTTTGGCAAGGAAATTTTAATCTTACTCTTCACTCAATAACGTGCAAAAAGAAAAATAAGAGATTGATATTCAAAGGCTGCGAGGTGAAATTTAAAGGCTCTTGTTTAAAAGCAGGAAGCGGGGGCAAGTACTGATAAACAAACCCATTTTGTATCACCCAAAACGGTACGACAAGTCCCACAGGCTTTCCCCCACTTCACCGTTAAGACCCAACATGCTGAAAATCAACCATAACTTAAAGAGATGTCAACAGACAGTTTTTAGGGATGGTAACAGCAGGGTATAAGGCTCTGAGGTTTCAGCTTACCAGTCAACCCTCGCTTCCAGGGAATCAAGGACTCGATGTTGTTCTGCATCCTTAAGCACCCAGCTCAGTGGCTAGAAACCAAGGTGCGCTTTTCTTTTCTCCTACTTTCTACACAGGCAAAATTAATCCCTTCCTGTCAAGTCCCACATTGTTTTTCTAATAGAATACAATTCTGCTCCATATTCTACTTTTACAACCAGTAATTTGATAGAATCAGCTTAAATGAAGATGAATAGACACCAATTAGTACTGTTTTAATAGACTACCGGATTTCATACCATAAATCTCATTATGTTTTGTAGAAATTAAATTGGAAAGCCAGTGGCAAGAACACATACAACCTGTGCACATACAAACGAATCTCAATATAATACAAAATTAGTAAAAAGAAGCAGCAAGTTTCTTAACTTTAATGGAACTCAAGAAAAATAAATCAGCATTTTCACTTAGTGGAGTACCCGATCCACTCAACTCTCATGCAACTGCTTTCAAAACATTACGCCGGCTTAAAACAAAAGATCCAATGAATTTCAGAAAAATAACGTAGCTAGTAGCTTATCACTGGGCCTAGACAGAGGTCCTTCATCAGAAACTTGCACCAGCAGGGCTGCAAAACTAAATTTACCTGAAGTTTGCATGAATCTCGATCACATCAAAACCAATTTATTCTCTCCAGCCCCTCTATTTTCCCCTGTGTGAAACCTTAAGCTCCTAATTACGGAAACCAATACCCCCAAGTTCATCTTCAAACAGGTAAAAAAAAAAAAAGAAAACTTAAAAGCAGCCAGGATACTGAGACACTTCATCAGGTGTCACCCAAAATCAAATTGACCAAAACCTGACAGCCTGAAGGGAGGCAGGAGCCATCAGACCCTCTCCACAAAGGTTAATACATTCTTCCTGTGCATTCTTACATATTCCAAAAGTCACAACAGAAATTAAATGTCCCTTCTTTCAAGAGATCTTTGGTCTAAAGACAGCTAGGACAATGCAGGATTCTCACAATTAAAAGGACAACTGTCATTCCTACCTTTGAAACTCCTGCCATTAAAACAACAACAATAATAATAATAAAAAAAAAACCCTCTCCAAACCACATCCTTTCTTTTTAACAGGAATAGCTGCTGTCAAAGCATTTCTCCTGTCACCTCCCCAACAAACAAAAAAGCTCCAGACAAATCAGGCATCAGGATCCACAGGACATTGGATGTCCTTTGTTTTAGGGACCTGGCATTCCACAGGACAGCTTGCCTTTTTTTTTTTTTTTTATTTTTTGGGGGGGGGGGCATGCAGGGGGCACTTCCAAACACATGGATTATGTTTCCCCACCAGCTCAGTTTAGCTTCTCTTGAAGTACACAGTCCTAACTCTCCCCAAAGTTCTGTGACCATCTAAAATGTTTTCTCCTAAAAATAAATTTAAAAAGGGAAACTGATGATACAGGGAACAATGGGATAGGAGGGATTTCAAGTAAGTCTGCAGAGTTATCAGATGTACAGAACAGACCAAGGAAAGCTTGAAAAAATAAATGCATTTTCTCTCATGGTCACCTCAGGATTTTACTTTACCTATAAAATCATAATTTAAAAATATTAGTCTAATGTGAGTAAGAAAAAAAAACCCCAAAGTTATTTAAGTACCTATTAGATTAGATGCTCCTGGCTACTCATGCCTCCATGGCAGAATATCACAGTGTAAACACAGCCATGCACTGGAAATCTCATTTACTCCTGCTTTAAGAGACATCTTTTCAAATGCTTCAGCTCAGTGGGAGTTTCAGGAATATTAATCACCTCTGAAACAACAGCAGAGATGTAGGGGTGTCTTTGGTGGACAACACCTTTACCCTGCTTTGTTTCAAAGACAACTTTTACAGGTGATCTTTGATGCAGTCTTATCACCCGTTCTTCTACAATATTTCTCCCCCCCCCTTATCCTGGTTTTCAGTATTCCTTTTTTATTCCTGAATGAAATTAGTCTGTGGCCCTGCTTGCACTCTCGAGTTTACAGGTTCAAAAAAATGATTTACAGGAGAAGCTATTACTGCATACATCTCCCAATCTGTAGCCTCTGTTCCCTTCCTTCCTGGTCTGAGAGAGGAAGCGTGACTCAGCTCACAGCAAAAAGAGCAAGTTCATTTAAATAAATTAAAATGGGCAATGATCAAACCCAGAAGCTTTTGTTAGGCTTCTATTTACAAGCAACTGTAAAAAGCAAAATTTTTAGCAAATGTTATGAATTAGTCAGACCTGAGCCACCAACTCATTCACCTATCAAGTCCTTAAATAAAAAAATGAACTGTTAAATACATTAAACCCTGCCCCAATCAACGTGGCAAGAAAGCCCATTAAATGTGCAGCACCTCCAGACAAAACAGTTTTTCAGCAGTGCTTCTAATCCCTTACAAGTAAATCAATTATCCTCTGAGCACCCACATTATACACCAGCAGTGCTTCCAGCAGGTGACTGGTAATTCATCAGGAGATCGTATTTTTCTTCTAACTCCACTCTTTCGACCTTTTTCCTACGAGATCTCGCACAGGTCAACAGCAAAGCCATCTTTCCTTTAAACCATTTCTCCCTCTGAGCAGGCTCTTCCACATATATTACAAACTCAAAACTAAGTGTTAATATAGACAAGTTAAGCCTTAAAATTTAGCTCTCAAAGGAGCAGTATGGAAAATGAAGTTTGACTCCCTTAAAGGAACAGTCAGTTACCAATTCCATCATTTTTATCCTTAAGGGAAACCAACTGAAATCTTAATCATGCTTTCCCAAAGAAAGTTATCGGGTATTTCTTCAGTTTAATGCTCCTCTAATGGTACCCAAAGCACTTCTTGATACACAAATCTGCACACGATCATGTTTTTAGCCTGAAAAACATTTGCAGTTCCTCATTAAAAGCTGCTGCCATAGACAGATGTAAGTCTTCACTTTCACTCAGGAGTCTCAAATTATTTTAAGGAAGACTCATAAGCCACATAAAAATAACGTTGTAACGGCCCATTCATTGATGGGGAGACAAAGCCACCCAATAACCTGTCAAAAAGCATGCACAGCCTGCTGCTCGTCGCATAAACAAAATTAAAACCAAAGAGCAGCTTTCCCTGGACACCTGCCGCTCACACATGGTCATTTTTAACCCAGCCTCTGCAAGACAGATGCCTGCTCACAAGACACTCATCCCTCAAGTCTCACACACCGCTGAGCATTCTGGCCCAAATGTCACATTTCAGCTTCTACAAACCCTGGAAGAGTACACAAGGTGTGTCAAAACTCCCACATTTTGCTCCACAGAAGAGGGCTAATGTCACACAACAGGCTCCCCCGATCGCCTGGCCTGATGCAACAGGTATAAATCACCAAACCGCCTCTCATCATGAAGGCCAGAGTTTTAATCTAAGCAGCACAAAAATTTGCTCAGGGAGAGCTGGGACAGAGGAAGAACAGCTCCTCCACTTCAATCACTGTCTCTCCCAATTCCATGCCCAAAATTAAGCCTTAGGCTTCTGTACAACAGGCCAACGCTATGCAAGCAGGACCAACAACTCAAAACACCCTCCCAACACTAACAATGTCACACTGAGGTTTTTACAGTACCATTACCTTCACATTAACAATGTTTTTAACACCTTCTACCTGCCTGTGAAACAAGGTCTAGCAGCAGCAACTTGCTCAATTCTAGAATTATTCTAAAGTGAAATATTGCTAGCAGTTTGCTGCTGCTTAGCTTGCACAATCAAGTGCAGCTGTCTCTTTGCAATGGCTGTGTTTAAATCCCATAAAAACTCCAACAGTTTGCCCTGAAGCAGAACCTCCATAGGCATAAACTGCAAAACTTGCTGGGGAGAGTCCGTGTCTAGTAAAGAGCTCATTAGTTTATTCAGATGCTGCAGGTATTCAACAACTGGGTTCGGGAGGCCTCTGTAACCAACACACAGCAAAGCAGCACTAGTCCTTAGAGGTTCCCGGGCGGTCGGACAAGCGAACGTGATGCACCCGAAGCAGCAATGCAGTATAAAGACCAGGCCAGCTGTGAAGCGCGTGAAACACGAGAGAACAGGCAAAATCAATGCATCTCCCACTACAAGTTGACTCAACGAATGCAGAACGCACTCCAGAAGCTGCTGCTGGTACTTTGGTTCTCCATCATAAAGCAAAGAGAAGCTAAAAGTCAGCAGTGTGGCCGAGTCCAGGAGCTTTATTTCCATACTGGGGTGGCTTTCAGTATCACAGAGGGATGGAAAGTCCACCACAAGGCACTTGAATTGGTCACCACATTTTTCATTCAGGACTTCCTGATGACACCTGGAAAGATCAGACACTTCTGCCAGTATCAGTTCCCCAGGAAGAACTTCACATGAGTGACAAGGCTGCAGCATTTGTCTGCTTTTCAACCCCCCCCCCAGCAGTTCTTTCACAGCTTCATTAAGGTTTTCCAAGACTTGACCATCACAAAACAGCGAACATTTTACCCTGGGTAGTCTTTTTCCTTCCAAAATGTACCACAAGCTACACTCAAGGTTAGAAGATGATCCTTCCAAGATGCACATTTTACCAGCATTATTTAAACTATGCTCTTCAGCCCAGTGATTAAAATAGCCCTTTGCCACTTTATCATTCCACGTAAGGTTTTCCAGCATCTTCCTTTCGTTGTACGTACTAAAATATTTGTTTCTTTGCCCAAACCATTTTGCATTCATGCTGCAACCAGTCTGAGATTTCTTGACAAGCCAGTTATTTCTGGCAATGGGTTTCATATGAAATCTTTGCATGAAGAACTCTACTGCACAATCTCTTAACTTGTTCAGTTTCATCTGCTCTGCTTCTTCCATGCGCTCAAAGAGACGGATGTTCTCCGAGATAGTCTCTACCTGGCACTTGTGGAAGAACACACAACACTTTTCGTGTATTTTAAGAAAAGATTCCGGTAGCGTATGCTGGGGGAAAAGTGCTTTGTTGACCATTTCTGTTCCAAAGTTCTGCATCATCTTAGAAAGCAGCAGATGAATGCTTTCTCTGCCCATATAACGAAGACAAATCACATAGGCCTCCGAGTTTCCAGCCTTGCTAGTGGCTGGCTTAAAGACATGGACCTCCTCAAAGGAGCAGTTTAGTAGAAAGAGCAGATTGGTAGAACAGTGTTCAAACAGCGTGAACATCTTCAGGACAAAGGATCCCCCAGTGCTCAGGATCATTAAAGCAGTGACTGTTTCACAGTAATGAAGGGGTGAGACCAGAGCCTCCTGTTCACCTGGATTTCCCTGGCAATCAAAGCTGCCATCAGCAGTTACCAAGTGAACTGCAGCCATATTACTTACAAAGCTCTGAAGTCCTGTTAGATGTTTCAATGTCATCACATCGCCAGTGTTATCTGGGCCGAAGTACCACCAAGGCAACGTATTCGCTATGAGACGGTCATCCATGATCATCGTAAGGGTGTCATTTGCTTCATGATAGGGGTTTAGAGTATTCGCTACCCAATTCCAGTCACAAGGGACACGGTGGGATTTCAAGTAGTGATTGAGGCTGGCTATAAAAGCTCCAGGTGCTTCACAGAGGTGGACAGAGTTCAGTTCTCCGTCCTGAAGAGCTTCTTCAGGGAGAAGAGGAAAACTGCACAGAATCTCATGAAACTTGCACCAGGCCTGGGTGCACAGCTCAGCATTCACGGATTTCTTCACATGAGGAATTATTTTCCCCGCTTTATTGGTAAAGGAGGTGTGCTGATGCCATTCATCCAGGTTCTTATCACTCAGCTGATTCTTCACTTCATTCATTGAATCCTTCAGAGCCAGGAGCGAGTTGAATTCCTCGTGATCGCGCGTAAAAGCATCGCTGGGATCCGGTAGCTGCCATTCGTTATTCACTGGCTTAGTGTAAGTAAACTTCTTTGCAAAAAGCTTCTCAATTTCGGAAAGAATTTCAGGACTGAACTTTTCAAGGTTTGTAGTCTGGTCAACAGAAGGCTTCTTACATTTGCTCATTCTTGGATGGATCCACAACCTGGAGTACAGCAGGGGAGAAGAAACAATGTCATTCCAATCTCAAGTGTATATAAATAAGCACAGATTTTTTTTAAAGAATCAAAGTTTCTCCTGCTTAACCTCTGTATTCCAGAACGAGAGAGAGAAGTGCTTCACAGAATCACATACCAATGAGGAAAATAAATGAGGGCTATCCTGAATAAGGCTATTTGGAAATCAGGAGGTTCACAGGTTCAATCACCCTTCGTGCTATTTATACAGAAAGCGGAGAAGAGTTTGCTGCTGCTTTGGCTCCTCACCAACCCCCCAAATACACTGCTCACTGTATGGATCTAAACATTTAAATACAAATAGCTTGGTCACAAAGAGAACACATCACAAGCTACACAAACATCAAACAAGCAGCAGGGGAATCTTTTAATCTGATTATGGCAGTATTTATCCATCTTGCTCTAAGTACAGAGTAGGGAGCCACAAGCAAAGGCAGCTTCAAGCAGGAGCACAGCTGCTGCTCCTATTTCCTCCTAACCCACAACAGCTAACCCTCACACCCCCTTCCACAAAACCCCATGCAATTCAGGGAGAGCCCCCTCACAAGCACTCCTGGTAACAGCCCTTTAGCTGAGCAGACCCTCATGAGAGGTTTAAGCCCTCATGAGGTTGCTTGCACCAGCCTGCAAGCAAACCCCCTTTTCTGTGCTCAGCGTTACAGCTCTCTTCCAGGCCACTGCAAATCCTTATGCCTAGATTTCCCTGCTGGAAAAACAGTGATAAACCTGACATGGAAAGAGACTTCCTTGCACCCGTTGACAATCCTAACTCATGCTTGATGTTGGAGAAGAGACTAACGCAAAGCCTTGTGCTTTGAGCAGACAAAGGCACACTAACACAAGTGTACCCAGCATAAAGCTAACGAGTCTGCTGCCATCTGCTCCAGCACAAAGCACATGAGGCAGGAGTTGGGTTCACTAACCAGAAATCAGCCAGCAATCTACTCAGAACTAGAGATGCTCATTTAAGCAAAATAATTTAATCAAAATTACCACAAGAGGCAGGAAATCCCTCAGACTATCAATTTAACCATCCCATTACCTCAGAAGCAAAATACGATGATCTTAAGTATTACAAAACAGTTTACTGTGGAAAAAAAAATTGATTAAAATTGGAAGAGTTGAGAAACTTTGGAAGCAAATAGAACAAAATATGGCCAACCTAAACATTTGACTCTTTGCCTTGAATCTGTCTCAGGCCACAGCTCTGCAACTGTCTCCTCTCAAAACCATCAGCCCTCTGAGGAGAAGCACAAGGTTAAGTACATACAGGTGAAACTTCGATCTCTCATTTCCTCAATTCCACTGTCTTTCGATAAGCATGTTTAGTTTCACTTTCCTTTTTGCATATGTATTTTGGCTTTAATCCAGTCCTTTCTCACTACAGGTGCAGGGGAGAAGGGGAAAACTGAGGGAAACACAGGAGAACACTGTTCCCTAAACTAGTTTTACTTCATTTTTAAATACCAACTACAAGCATGGCCTTTTAATTACAGCTCACGCCAGCAAATCCCCGAACAAGCCAACAAAGCACAAGGACACAGGCAGGCAGGCAGTCACCTGCCTTTTCTTTACGTCCAGTCCTCACTGACCTGGACTCGATCCAAGCCTGCTTGAGGGCTCCG